TTAAAACTGGTGTTCTGAAAACTGATATGGTGATCACCTTTGTTCTAGTCAACATTATAACCAAAGTAAACGTTAGCTAAAATGCGCCATCAGGCATTGAGTGAAGCTTGTCTTGGGAACAATGTGGGCATCAATTTTAAGAAAGTATCTATCAAAGATGTTGCAGCATCGCTGCTGGTGACACTGATGACCCACCAATGGAAGCAGCTGGCCTCACTGCTCAGGAATACATTTGTTTTACATATACATAGCCAAATGCTGGCTATGCTTTTGTCCTGGGTTGTCAGAGCTCTCATTGCTTCCAATTTTGCTGAGCTGAAGGAAAAGACTAATCACTGTTCTGAAAAGGAGGTAGGAAATGGCCCTAAATTCTTGAAATCTGGTAATGATGCCATGGTTTATGTGGTTCCTGGAAAGGTCATGGGTGTTGGGCTTCTCTGACATCCCTTCTGGGCTGACTGCTGTCAGTAGCATGAAGCAGATAGTTGCCTTGGGTGTTCTAAACGCAATTGACAAGGAGGTTGCTGAAGCTGGCAAGCTCAGCAATCTGCCCAGAAAGCTCAATGAATATGACTCCTAATATCTACCAGTGTTAATCAGTGGTGGAAGAACGGTTCCAGAACTGTTCATCTCAAATGGTCATTTAAGTTTGATAGCAAAAGACTGGTTAATGATAACGATGCACTGTAAAACATTTAAAAGGAAAGAAGAATGTATGGTGGACTATTTTGTTCTGTTCTTGTGAAACATTTTTAAGTTAATGGTTTTAAAAATCAGCACTTTCTAACAGAAACTTGACCAAAAACCTGCCATAGGATTTTGAGCCCAATGAGAACAGAAACCAGTTTTAAACTTTTTTTTGAGACAGGGTCTTACTATGTAGTTCAAGCTGCCTTGAATTCACTATGTAGCCAAAGCTGCCCCCTAACTCGCAGTGATCCTCCTGCCTCAGCCCTTTGAGTGCTTGGAAATATATGTAAATTAAAAAATCTGTGGAACTCTGAAACACCAGACTCCCTGAAAACCACTACCCTATTAAACTATTTGGTTACTAGACAGATGTCGTTGAGAACCTGAGCTCCTAATACCTCTTTCCTGTAGTTTTTCAGACCCTCCACAAGTGATTTTCCATGGGCTGCTCTGTTATCCTTGAGCAACGCAAGTGTCCAAGAACTATACCACTCTTCTGGGGGTGGGGGTTGAGCACACACTGCAATGACAATCTATGGTGCCTTAGCTAAGTATGCACCATCATCTAGGGAATTCAGTAAAATTTCTACTATGTTTAACAGAAAGAAGAATCAATAAAAAATGAGCTTAGCATGGCTGTGCTTAAATGAAGTGAGTCTTCCTACTACTAGTGGACATTTTTGCTATCTGATAAATCTCTTGCTAAGATTTAATGCAAAGGGCAAAATTTCACTGTTTTTGTTTTTGTATATACACAAATCATTGGCAATGTAAGACATACTGAACTGAAAATGGAAAAGTTGTCAGAAGCTAATCATGGAAAGATATATGCATTCACTGAAACCATATGCCAATGTCCTCTACAGCACAAGGAAAAGGGCTTTAGCACATACACATGGTACAGATTTGGACCTAAGATTGATGCATGACACAGAATTCTATTACAGGGCCCTGGGAGATTGCAAGGTTCTTGCTACTTTTGAAGGCGATGTTTCTTAATCCTCTGATTTTGAGTTCCCTCAAGGATTTTTCCATTTGTCAGATTCAAACACACACAGTCCCTAACTTACAAACGAGTTATTCTGGGAGAATAAATCAAATTCATATCTGACAAAGTGAGTCTTATATAGTACACCTGTCAAACTTCACTACTTGAATGTTCCTTAGTCGAGGACTTACAGTATGTTTTATCCAGTATTTTTATTTTTATAACAGAAGCAGGTGTCTAACTGCTTTACTGATAAAGTTACTTGAATACCAATTCCATACTGTGTATCAAAAATATAGTCTCTTCCTATATTTCTGAAACCAGTACTCCCAAATAAAGAAAAGGCACTTTGAAAGGGACAGATGCACAAAATAACCCTTTTAGAGTATGAGACCAAAAGTTTACAGCACTCCTTCTCTCTCTCCTTATTGACTGATTGATGCTGGTAATGGAAGTCAGGGCCTTCAGTGTGCTAGGCATGCACTTCTCCTCTCTGCTACACTCCTAGCTTGAACAGCTGTCATTTAGATTCACTTCTCAAAAGATGAATAATACACACAGATATCTTCCTCAATCTTTATTTTAGGCAGCCTCACTTTATATATGATATTAGTGGGTTCCTAAGAGAGGAAAGGGAGCTCCTTACTGAGGAGGTGGGTTAGGGAAGCACAGAGGGGATCTTTTCTACATTTACTTATTTTCATTATGTTGTGATGAAGAGGAATATATAGGTGCCCAGTTAATTGTGCTTATAGATTATCTGGTTTACACTAAGAGAGCTGCATAAATTTTGTAAAGAAGCTATTAATAGAAAACAGTATTGGGGCTGGGGATTTAGCTCAGTGCAAGCGCAAGGACCGGAGTTCAATCTCTGGTACCAAAAAAAAAAAAAAAAAAAAAAGATAACAGTATTAACTAGGGGCGGGGATTTAGCTCAGTGGTGCTGTAGCCTGCCTCGCAAGTGCAAGGCCCTGAGTTTGATCCCTGGTACCAAAAAAAAAAAAAAAAAGAAAAGAAAACAGTATTAACCATACTAATAACTAGAAAACAAGAAAATGGGAAATCTGAGACTTTTATTCTTAGAATGAGTTCTTTAGTAGTACAACTTATGAAACTTACATTAAATATATATTCCCTGTGTAAATATGCTAAACATATTTTTATGATAGATGAACATGTAAAAAAAAAAAAGGGCTCGGTGACTTCTGCTTTAGGTAACCATGCTATTCCAGTCCTGAGAAACAAGCTAAAAACTAAACTGCAGACATTCCACTGGTGTCCTAGAAAAAAGTCCTACATTAAAATAAAAAGTCCTAGATAAAAAGTCTGGGTTCTAAATAAAAAATCTGAAGGAATAATGGACAGAGATAGTCTCTTGCTTCCTCCAAGTTATCTGAAACTTATTACTATGTGGTGGAAACTCCCAATTTTCTGCTAAGTTACATATGAAGGATGAGGTTCTGCCTACAGGGATGCATAAAGATTTAGATAAGCACTTCCAAGTTTCTTTGTATTTTAAAAACAGGACAATAAGGCAAATAGGAATGTAGACTATTTTGGAGCTATACTACAACCATAAAAACAATTTTATGAGAATATGCAAGGTAAAGCCAGTCATTTAAAAATGTCACAAGAGTCAGCATATATAATACAGACTGCAGGTTCTTTGCTAGCTGTAATTTCTCTTCCATTCAAGAAAGCAAGTGAGTGGAAATTATTATAAAAGCAATGTTGAATTGCTCAAATAAACCTTAAAAAATTCCTAATTTTAGTGAGTTAATAATTCCTTAGTCACAAATTACTTGGGAAGTTTAACACAAATGACTGAAAACAAGATGTCAGGGCATCATCAGATGGGACTTACTCCTTGGAATCTGAATTAGTCACTATTTTGTCTTAACTGGTCATAGACATAATATGATACTTCATCATCTTAGCCTTCTTGGACAAGGCTGGTTCTGGAGTGCTTAGAATCCAGACTGGTCATCTAACTGATAATGTGAAATAGGAAGAAAAGGTCTAAATGGGGTAGGGAAAGTGGGAGGGGTAGGGGAAAGGAAAGAAGGGAAAAGAAAAAATATGAAAAAAGGAAAAACATGGAAACAAAGTCTTTGTAAATAGGGAAGGGTGGAGGGGGTGAAGGGAGGGGAGGGGAATGGGGAAAAAATAAGAACCAAGATACTCATGTAAAGGTACAAGATCCCAATGATGAATGCAACTGTATTGTATACTTAAAATGTACCAATAAACTTAATGGAAAAAAAAAAGCAGCCTCCTTGATTCAGCTCTACAAAAATATTACTATGTTTGCAATGACAAAATTTTGATTTTTATTGCCTTAGAACTTATTTGCAAATTATAGTGTGTGTGCACCAAATGTGGATCGTAGCCCATTTTGCATAGCTCATGATCTGTGAATGGCTTTTACATTTTCAATCATTGAAAAAAATAAAATTAATAATACATGACATGAAAAGATTTGGGGCCGGGGATGTAGCCCAGTGGTGCTGTGGCTGCCTGGCAAGCTCAAGGTCCTGAGTTTGATCCCCAGTACTGGGGGAAAACACACACACACACACACACACTCACACACACACACACGATATATATGACATGACATACTGTATATGACATGAAAAGAATTTATGAAATTCAAACTTGTGTCCACAAATGAAGTTTTATAGGAATAGTCATACTCTTTGGTTTGTATGTTTATGGCCACTTCTGCACTGCACGCAGAGTTCAGTAGCTGTGATATCAGAGAGCCCACTTAGATTTGTTATCTAAGTCCTCTACAGAGAAAGATAACTGACTCTTGCCTGACAGTATCTTATCAAAGCCAGGAACTTAAGTTATCTGGCCTGCACAGTGGTTGCAAGCAGGACGGAAATGGGTCAACATGGAACCTCTCCATACAAGAAGGTACCCTCCCTTGCCAGGCTCTGCAACTTAATGTTTGTAAGTGGCTGAATCATATAGCAAAAGACTAGATTTAAAAATGAGCAAACTTGATCTGACAAGAGACTGCTGGGCACCATTAGGCTTTGAGGCTATGGATATGGTGACACAGACTTCTGGAACAAAAGGTGGTTCACAGGCAACAGAACACAATATTTGAAACTGGTGCTATCTGAAAAAAATACAGGTTGTATATTATGTATCTAGAATTAATTTCCTCAAATGCGTAAAGAAAATATAAACACAGCTACTTCTCCACATATATGAGGAAGAGATAAGAGGTGGGATGGACAGGAAACTAGAAACCAACTTTCCTAAGACAAAAGAGGCTCATGTAAGAGAGAGGAAGAAGCATGACTCTTACTTGCACAAGTGTAGGCATCTTTGTTGGTGAAAGGCTTCACACAATGGGTGCAACTGATGGGACCCACAACAGGAATGGAACTGAAAGTATGCCCACTGACAATCTTCTTATCTTTTTCCTTCTCTTTAGAATCTTTCTCCTTCTCCTTAATTTTCTCTTTCTCTTTTTCCTGCCAAAGAAAAGAACTGACAGTTAACTGAACATTGGAAGGTGTCCTCTTTACCTGAATACCCAGATGGCATGTGGTCAACAGTGGTTGGTGAATCTTTTGGACAAAAGTAAGGAACAATGTTCAGGCAAACCTTTTATTAACTTATGAACAGGCAAGCTACATTAGAAAAATTATATGAAAACTGAACAGGATACACAGTTCTGGCAGTGGCTCATCCATGGATTATTTATACTGAAAGACGCAATGCTCAAAGATCAACACTGCGAAGAGGCCTGAGGTGTTGGGTAAGGAGTATTCTCAGTAAGCCACAGCACAGTCCACATGGGAAGAAAACAATGGATTTAGGGTCAGCTGTAGGCAGAGAGCAGAAAAATGTTTAATTTGGGAAGGAGATTGTTGAGAGAAAGAGGACAAAATTAATGCATAGTGTACAGAATATGGACAATGGTGTCAGGCTCAGGTTCAAATGTAAGTTCTACTACTACTACTTAATAATGATGTGAACGTGGGCAGGTTATTCTCTAGGTCTCAATTTCCTTATTTGAAAAGTGGGAAAGTGACCCTTTTCATGTACACATTCATACACATATATATGTGGTATATGTATATAAATTATATGTTCAGTTAAAAAATATATTTAAATTAAGTGAGATAGATGGAAGAAGGGGAAAGGGAGAGAAGGAAAAGTGGAAATAAAAAGAATTAAGGGGCTGGGGATTTAGCTCAGTGGCATCGCGCCTGCCTTGCAAGTGCAAGGTCCTGAGTTTGATCCCCAGTACAGGGGTGGGTGTGGGGGGTGGGTGTTAAGATGTGTTATGTACACAAATCAAGTCAAGATTAATGTAATCATTATGTACTGCAAACATGTATTAAATTTTTTAAAAACTACATGAAATAATACATGTAAAGCATGCTACACATGTTACACAGTGCCTGCCACATAGTGAGTAAGCAATACTATTTAACAACAGCTATTAGAATAATTATTCATGCCTCACTCAGAAGGAGTTTCATTAGCTTACTACTCTCCTAACCCAATAGAGAAATATATTTCCCTGCAATGAGAGAAAAGAAATTTTGATTTTGAGGAGGGAGAAAAGAAACTAAGGAATAGCAAAAGGGCACTGGTGCCAACCAAGGATAGGAAGCATGAAAAAGAAAGGAAAAAAATCTTTTTTGTTTTTGGTACCAGGGATAGAACTTGGGTCCTTGTGCTTTCGAGGCAGGTGGCAGAACCGCTGAGCTAAATCCCCAGCCCTGAAAGGAAGAAATCTTGTTGACATTTTTTCCAAACTATATTCTTTGTCCCCTCAAGCTACTTACATCATAATGGTAACTTCAAGAAAATGGGGACCCAGAAGGGAAGTCCCATGGCCCACACGCTAACTGCTCTGCATCAAGGCCCAGAAAGATAGGAAAAGCAGGCAGTATCTCTGGTTTAAAGACACCAGGATTCCCAAGACCTGCTCTCTGGTCTCTACTGTAAAGCTCCCCATTTTTCTTGCAGTCTTCCTTCACCTGTCTGAGGAACAGGAAACTGATGTTCACCTAATGTTTGCTATGTGTCCAGCCAGTGTACTAGGTGCCTTCTAGTGACTGAGCAGACTAGTACTAGGCCATGCACTGTACAAAGCTCCAGGACATTGGCTGGCACAAAAGTGAATGAACCCAGTGGGAAGAGGTAGCCTGGACTATAAGGAGTTCTGGGTACCAGACTGCTCAGTATGTTACCTCAAAACACTATAGGAATGCTTGAAATGCTCTGAAGACACACCAAAAGAAGTGGGCTCTTCTATGATATCATCTTGCTTCTAACTAAGAGGGGTTGTTATCAAAGCTTATACAAGTATGATAAGGAACAGAAGGAATTTAAACCTGAAAAAGTTGAAATATCAAAGAGTGCTAGATCCTTAATTAAATATCTACACAAGTCAGGGTCACTGTAGGAACACAGTGTACTTACAGGCTCTGGGGATAATGCTTTCCATAAAGGGTTCGTTGAAAGCATTGTTTGGCAAAGCACTTGGCTGGCTAATCAAAATCAACCTAACAATTTCCTTTCAAACCAACTGGACCACAAAGAACTACAATGGAGGTTTAAGAGTTTCTTGTTTTGCCACACTACTGTTATAATCTAGAAAAATACTCAGAAAATGGGTAATTCAAAGTTATGATCATGACACTACTCAATACCTTACATTTTAAATTAATGCCTTTTATACAGATTATTTCATCTGATTCAATAACTCTGAAGTGGGAAAACCAAGCATTACACTTCTAATTTTTTTTTTAAGATAGCTAAATTCTGAATGGTTACTGTGTGTCAAGCACAATAATAAGCAATTTACATGAATTTTCTAAACTCAACGAATTAAGTACTAGTTATCTCCATTTTACATCTGAAGAGGCTGAGGCTTAGAGATGTTTAAAAATACATTTGAGGCCACACACCCAACACTCAAACTAGAGTGAAGATCCAGATCTGGCTGGCCAGCTCAACCTTCACTCACTATCACACTATATCGTGAAGGCAAAAGACCATGAAGTATTTTCTGTTAAAAACCAATCCACAATGCTGAAATGGTAAATATAGTATTTCCTAAAATTTAAGATTCACAGGAAGTCCTTTGTTTACAGAAAAGTGCATGTAAAATATAAGAGCCAGAGTGCTATAGTCTTGAACTATGCAAAATATCAAGAGAGGAAGGGAGAAAAGCAAACTACTTTACAAAACAGGAAACTGTTCAAACTGAAAATCGGTAACTGTTACAATACAAATAAGTCCAATAAAAATCAATAACAAAAATCTGAGTTTTTCGAAATAACTTATTTCCACTAAATTTTGCTGAAGCTTTCTCCATGTATAAAATTTTAGACTAAAAGGCATCTGCCTTTTTTGCTTATGAAGGCTAGAAGCATGCTGTAACAGTCAAGAAATCTATGATAACTAGCTTATTCTCTCACACTTTGCAATGCTCTTCAAATCTGAATAAATAATTTCATCATCCTTTGCAACAATCCAAAATAGTTCTTCCAAAGATAAAACAAAGTAACAAACAAACTACACTGTCTCTTTCTGTTTCTATCCGCTTTGAGCACTTTAGAGAAGTCAGGCTCTTACCTGCCCATACTTTTGTCCTGGGAATCTCACTGTTATAAGGGGTACTTCAGGAAGCCGACCCCATTTTACAGACATGATGCAGCCTCCATGCCCGGAAATGTGCTCTCACAGAAGGAAGGGCTCGTGCGGGCAGGGCAGAGCGCAACAGCTTTGAGCTGCCATTAGCGAAACCATAAGAGGAAGCCAGACCGGTTGAGAAAGGGAAGGAGGGAGGGCTGAGGCTGCTTGTTTCCTTAAGACAGTTTTTTACCCCTTCAGACAATCTTAACTATTTGAATGCTGCTGCAAAACTATCGTAGTTACAAAGGACACAAGGAATGAAATGAAGCTAAATCCCCCCAAATCCAGGGTGTGTGGACAGTGCTTATGTTGCAATATGGAAACTCAATATAAAAGAAATATATTGTTCCTTTATAAAAACAAACTTCAAATTCTATAAAGAGCAGAACTTAGTAAGAAATTTTTAAAATAAAAGTTGCCTAAGGTAAAGTTGTGATTGACTGTTTTGGTTTTTTTTGGTACCGGGGATCAAACTTGGGACCTTGTGCTTGTGAGACAGGGGGCAGAACCACTGAGCTAAATCCCCAGCCTGTGATTGTTTTCTGAGGTTTGATTTGTCCATGTTTAGTATCTGCCAAAATTCTTTAACTATGTGCTATGGAAAGAGATTTTAATAGCATTCAAAAAGGAAAGATAATGGTAACAACTTCCTAGGACACTATGAATGAAAATGATTTTTCATTTTTTCCAACCTCTCCTTTCAGTTAATTAAAAATCACAGAATACTCTGGACAACTGTGAAAACATACCATGATAAACAACTGTCCTGGTACAGATCTTTAATCAAAGAAATGAGAGAATCATATTTAATAATGACTTACTTTTTTAAACACTAATGTACTCTAGTAGGTACCTCTGAAAGATTAATGGGAATAGTTCTTTTTCATACAAACCACAGAAACTAGGAATTAGAGTTCAATGTATTGCTATAAATTTATGTAGTATATTAGCCAGGTAGGAATGTCTTGCACCCCAAAATACTTCGAGTCAGAATGTTTTGTCTGAAACATTTCTAACCATCTTCTGATTGTGCATGAAAAGAGGAAAGAAAGAAAACCAGTGTGATAGGATGGTTTAAAGAGGGTTACTTCACTCCCTTTATGAACTTGAATCTTATGTACATAAATATTTGAATACTTTTAACAACCAAACTTACTTAGCAAGAAATAGTACTACTTCTCTAAGACAAAAGCAGAAATTGTCATTTTTGCTGTTGTACTTCCTGGTTAGGCTCCACCCTTCTCAGAACTATTCAATACATTTATATAGTAACTTACACCAGTTACTGATTAACTCTTAAAAGAACATGTTAAGGATTGGCAACTAAATTTCTTACATAAAAACTACATATCTAATATATTAGCAAGAATGTGTACCATTTGCTATGTAATGGCTGACTTCTGGCTCCTTTGAATATTATCTAAGAACTGTTTATGACCACAATTTAACATACTGAATGTAATAAGTCTAGCTTAGCAGCCAAATTTTGGGTTTTTTTTTTTTTTTTTTGGTACTGGGGATTGAACTCCGGACCTTGTGCTTGCAAGGCAGGCAGCAGCGGAACCACTGAGCTAAATCCCCGGCCCCAAGTCTAGGTTAGTATCTATAAACTGTCTATATAAATATATATCATACATAAGGAAACCTGTCTTGAAAGTCCATTCACTGGGGAGATGAACAGAAGAACCTCCACTTATTTATTGGTCTTGCACTTAAGTTTGTTTAAAGACAAGATTCCACAGTTTAAGAACAAAAAACAAAGCAAAACAAAACAAAAAAATCTGAAACCATAAAAGTAGATTACAAAATTTGACAAGGTTAAAACTGAGATTATAGAAATCACTCAGTAATATTTGCCTAATTTATACTGATCCTTCCAAGAGGTCTCTCTCACTTTCCTTTTTTTGATGCCAACTTGTGTTCAAGCAAGTGGGAATAAGTAAAACAGATTAGGCTCTATCTTAAGCTTTGCTGCCAATAAGAACACTGGTAAGCATTCTATCTTCTCTGACTTAGGTTTTTTAAAATTACAAAACAAAGCTAACGATAAAGTTAATATTTAAGTAAGTGATTATGCTAGAAATAATTGGCTAGACTCTTTGCATCTTTTCCTGACTGCCTTCTCTCTGCATTTTGCACTTGGGCAGGTGAAATGAAGAGAAAACACAATTCTGGAGGCGAACTTCATGGCGCCTTAACTGAGTTTCTGAATGGCTTAGAAGGGGGGGCACTTTTATACTATTCTTGAGTTCTATGTCTATTCTTACAAGTATATATATATGTTTGTATGTGTATATATTTATATATACAACTATGTGCATACATTTATACACACACAGTAATTAAATGCAAAAATGCCTCAATTTTAAATTTTTATTATTTCTTTATTGTGTTGGAGGATGTATGGGTAGCTGAATAAAATACAGGCGAAGTGGGAGGTTGAAAGTTTCTCCCCATTGATTTGAAAACATTGAGATTATTTGTCTCTATAAGATTTATTATAGATGTTTTTAATATTTTTTGACATTTGAAGATTCCTATAATGAATATGTAAAAACTAGATTTAAAAAGCTAGTTTAAATATTGTACTCTATTAGTACTAAAGAGGATATATTCCAAGTGTTCTTAATTAGAAATATGTCTAAGTCAGGCATGATGGTGCTTGCCTGTAATCCCAGCTAGTCGGCAAGCTAGAGGTAGGAGAACTGCAAGTTTGAAGTCAGCCTAAGCAACTTAGGCCCTATCTCAAACAAGCTAAAAAGGATTGGGGATACAGGCTAGCAGTTCTTGGGTTGAATCTCCAATACTGCAAAAATCAAACAAAACTCCAAAACCAAATACACAAAACACTCAAATTAAATTAGTCTTTTAAAGCTTTTATAATTTTCTGTGGGATAATTTTCTTCGCCCTAAACCAAAATAGTGTAAATATTGCTTAATCGCTCAATTGCAGCCTAAAATCCTTCCAATTCATTTCAAATCTGATTTACTGACTTAGGCACCATGGTTGACAGTGTGGGACCAGACACCAAAGAGATCTGGGTTTGAACCTCTTCTGCATAGGCTAAGTTACCTCATTCCTAGAGAAGAGACAATGCTTACCCTGCAGGGTTGCTGAAGAGATTAAATAGTGATATATGAAAGTTCTTGGCAAAGAATAAAAAGTGAGCAGCAGTACCTATATTGCTTTTATTACTGTTTTCTTCAAATACTAGCCTATTTCTAAGTGTGCCCCTGAATTTATTTTCATTTATGTTCCATCACTAACTTAATTTGAGGGGTATACACTGGTCATGACAAAAGCCTAGTGACTAAGTGGTCACACAAGGGTTCTGCACAGTAATACTTACTTTGTTCTTCTTACTACTGGACATTTTATTTCTGATGTAGCTGAAAGTACGACTGACTTTTGTTCCACTCTTCCCTTCAAAATCTTTCTTGGAGGGGCTTTGTGGCAGGAAATTATAGTTCTCTTCTGTTATACTAAATAAAAACAAGAAGACATGTTTCTAAAAGGATCACAGAAGTCAAACAGGAAGCAGAATAAGAGGTGGACAGAAGCTGCTGAATCATTTTATTTATATAATATCGAAGAACAGAGCATGCTACAATGCTCATGTTATAAAAATCTGGTTAAATTTTCTTAAAGATAACATTAATGCTTAAATTATGGAATATGGGCATAGTGGTGCACACCTATAATCCAGTACTCTGGGAGACTGCAGCAGGAGGATTGTAAACTCAAGAGCCCACCCTGCAAGACTCTGTACCCAACTCCCAAAACAAAACACAAACCAAACCAAAAACATCACCACCCCCAAAGTTTTAGTTATAAATTTTGATTAACTGATATGAAAGAGCCTATTGTTCATTAATTATTTTACCTGAAATGTCTTAATCTAAAATAGCATGACCTACAAACTTCTTTCCAACAAATTGGTGCATGAAGGAAATCCATATACATACTGGAATAATAGGGTGCTTGTTAATAAGGGTTGGAAACCAAGGAATCTTATGACTGGTAGCATATCTAAGTCCTTAACAGTAGAAGTGACACATCTTTTCTAGCCGTTCAGTATATTGGACAATCAAGACTGTAAACTGGCCTGTGGAACTATGAATAATTTTAGGAGGGAATATACTGAACAGCAGGCAGATTTCAGGAAGGCAGTAGAGATTCATTTTAAGTTTTCCAGAGACCCAGACTTACTGATCCTCTTGTTCAGGAAGCCTATATAAAGTCTAAGTCCATCAGAGATGAGCACACTGTAACCTTTAGGGATCCTTCAATGGTTGATTTTCTTACAGAAAATGGGGCATTTAAATAAATGATGGAAAAATAATCTATTTATACTATTTTGCTTAGGTATCTGCTTAGAATAGTTATTTAGGGCTTGCCCTGTCAGTGCAGGCTTCTGTGAGGTCAGCAACAGCAGCAGAACCATAAGGGTCCCCTTCAACAGCTAACGTCTATTTATGTAAGTGTTATTTAAAAAAACAAAGCACCCTGTTTTTAAAACAAAAGGGGAATAGTATGAAAAACACTGCTCTAGACAGGAAGAAGAAAAAGACAAGAAGGCAATGCAGAGAAACACTCATTGAGGCTTCTGGATCACTGAATCATAACCAATGTCTTTGTAAAATGGGAGCAACTTAAAAGGACTGCAGAGTGTAATCAGAACCCCATTCATGCTAAAATCAGAGTATTTAACCCCATAAACATGTAAAAAAAATACAAAAAAATGAGTCAGAACAGAAATGCTTTACCTGCTGCCAAGTAAAGAACTGATTCAATTACTTGGATAGATCTGTGCACCACATACAGATACACAGAAGACACAGCCGTTTTAATTTTTTGTTGTGGTGCTGGGAATTGAATCCAGGGCCTTGTACATGCTAGGCAAGGACTGCATCATTGACCAACACTTCTAATCCCAAGAATACAGCTTGAAAGAATAATATAAGCTAATACACACACAAAAATTACGAAACAAAATGCCATTCTTTAGGAATGAAAAAAACATGCATAAATTTATAAAGCCAAATATCAATGTATTTTTACATGAATAAACACAAATGAGGAACAGTGAAAAGAATCAAAGTGGAAACTACTGAACATCCTAATTTTAAGATAAGTCTTCATTATAAAACCTTTGATAATTATTCCAATTTATTACTCAGAGAAGAAAGAACCTAATGACCTCATACTACTTAGTTTACTTAATAAAATGTTATAACATAGTTTGGATTTTATGTCATTTTGGAAAAATTAATAACAAAATAAATGGATAATACCTTTCAGTCAGATTAGCACTGGTGTTGTGGAAGAGCCGTGAATCTAGAAAATAAAACAAGGCAAAGAAAAAGTTGAAACCAAAGGATTTTACCTTGATGATAGATAAAACACTAAAAAATATATGGTATAGCAAAAGCAGAAATAATGTTTGAAAGTCAGTGCATGGTGTGTCCTCCTTCAAACATTCTGGAAGAAGAAAAAACTTGATGGCTTCAAATAAGAACAGCACTACACAGTGAATTTCCCATGAAGAAAATATATTCCATCCAGGACTCAAATTAATTGTAAAAACCCTACATCAGTATTTTTTTCAAATGCTTTAATATACACAAAGCCTATTTAATTTCTGTTATCAATGTTATTTTCACAGGCCATTTTTCTGAGATGATGTCACAGGAAGAATATAAATAAGAAAGTAAATGCCAAATTTTTCAGTGCTAATCATGCTTTTATATATTTCTATATTAAAAATTTAGTATTATCAGATATTTTCCTGAGATTTCCAGATTAGCACACAGAACAGAGAATCAGAGCTGGCTTAAAATCCCTTGGCCCTGTGACTAATTTAGGGTAAAACATCTCAATTTCAGTTCCTTATTCATGAAATGAGGTAGATGAAATAGCTGGTAAGCTTGTTTCCAAGTAGGCAATAATAAGATAAATGGGACAGATGTATTCTTCCTCCAACCCTAATGAAAGGATTGTAAGTGGATGCATTAAAATTCTAAGTTTAAATCAGATAGGAGAGGGATGGGGATTTAGCTCAGTGGTTCTGGAGCCTGCCTCAAAAGGGCAAGGACCTGAGTCCGATCCCCGGTACCAAAAAAAAAAAAAAAAAAAAAAATCAGATAGTAGGGCAATACATAGAAAAAAATAGAAGTAGTATCTTTATTTTGATTTATTACATGTTAATAAATCAAAGTTTGAACTGCTGAGAGCTTAGGTGAGAGCAAGGCCTCAATTATAAAATGATGAACGGCTTTTAGTTTTAATGATATTAAATATAGAAATATTTTCCATGTATATTGCAGGTGGAAACAGCTTGTTTAGTAAAATGTGGACAGAATATCTCTTTCCCCTTGAGACTGATTTCAAAATTTCAGAAATTACTGTGAAACTTTAATCTGAGATTTGAAAATGTTCCACAACCAGATTTCCAGCACTCAAAACTTTCAAAACTTCCAATCTGTTGTAGATTCTGAATAGAAATGTAATATTGCCATTATTACTAAGAAATTGTTCAACAGGTGGAAATAATGCATAAGAAGCTTTAGAAGTAAATGTAACTATTCAAGATTGTCTTATATATTTTTTCCTACTTTTTTTCACTTATTATGTAAGGCTAAAAACAGTCAAGCAAGAGGGAAAGATCAGCAGGGTTAGAATCAGGATATTTGAGATCTATCCCCCAGTTGTGTACCATCCAGGTATGAAACTATCAGCATTTTAACCTCGTAATACCTTAGTTAGCTTAAAAAAAAAAAAATCAAGATGATAGTGTAAATCAGTGCTTTTAAAACTTTTCCCATCCAAGAGGCCCTTGATGTTAGAAGCGGCATTAAATTCTCCCAGGCTGCCAAGATTCTGTTGTACCTTTAAATAATTATTTAGTGAGTTTAATAGGAACAAAATAAAAATAAAACCCGTTATACAGAAAAATCCCAACAAAAAGCCTGGGGAAGAATAAGCTACTAAGAGATTTCTGTGGAATGAACTGAAAACAGTACGTGATTGGGTCCTGGGAGAATCCATGACTCCTATAGGATTTTCAAAGCTGAAAAATTTTAGATCAGATACTATGGTCTGCTAGACATGGTTCTGAAAACTGTTCAATTCACCAATGCCTCTAAAACTCCTAAAGTATCATTAAGCATCCAGAGCATTTTAGAACATAAAACAACAATTACTTCCAGTATAAAATTACAGACAGAAGAAATTTGTCATTTGTCATTAAAGTAAGCTTATAAAATACTATTGCCCATAAATAACATATTAAACTAGATTTAGAGAATTCTGCACATATTAGGGTTTCCTGGTAACAAATTTGGGAAACATGGTATATTGAACACTGCCTTGGAACTTTACAATGTATACACATTAGCATTTGAAACCTGCTTAACTCAGAGTTTACGAAATTTACCTGGCCACAAACTAATCCCTTCTTTTTCTTCTTTTCCCACCGCTCAATTCTCAATAGCAATTTTGAGTTTTAAGGAACAGATTTGAGAAATGCTACACATTAGATTCAAAGGTTTCTTCAGTTTTTACGCCTTTAAGATTGTATCATACTAGATTAGCTGAGTGACCAGTGCTGTTATGGGATTACAATTCTACATTAGTGGTATAAGAAATGCAATTGAGAATGGTTTGTCACGATGACTTCACTATTTCCTAGAGTGTTACTAACACTTTGAGATAAAATAGATTTGAGAACTTCTAAACACTCAAAATTGAAGTGGATTTTTCAACCTTCCACCTACAATTAGTATAACATAAATATCTTACTATATTATCTGTCAAATCTTTTAATAGTAAAAAGTATACTGAACATTAGTAAGGCCTCCAATGAAAACTAAATTAACTAAAATTTGTTTGTTATTTGCTAACAGTACTTTCCTATAAAAACAAATATTCCACCCAGAGCAATACTTGCGCACTGCTGCAACTTTAAGTCACCAGGTAGAAGGGAATTAAGTTAGGATGCTCAATATTACAGATGTAACTGTTTGAAAACCATAACATTACAAAGTTCCAAAGGAGAAAAAAAAAAAGTAACTCCCATCCCCTCATATATAAGACCTAATTTTAAAGGTTTTTTTTTTTTTAAAGAAATGGTCTGAGAAGATGAGTGAAAAAAAGAATTGTATTAGCTTTTAAATATCACAGATGGATGAAAGTGTCTCATAAGGCAAAAAAAAAAAAAAAAGAAACAAGGAAAATGAAACTGATACTGTCAAATGAAAAGTTTTGTGAAATTAATCCTCAGTTTTACAAAGGGTACAGAGTGACTACTGTATTCTTTAATGCCTTTGAAGATGTGTTCTGGAAAGCTACCCTGGGACCTCTGGGTCAATCAGAGTTAGTAGTATAAAGAAGTAAAAACTATTTTATCCAAATCAAGCTTTTTTTTTTTTGTACTGGGATCGAACTCAAGTCTTTCTTAGTGCTTGTGGGGCAGGCGGCGGAACCACTGAGCTAAATCCCCCGCCCTCCAAATCAATTTTTAAAGGCATGCATGAGGTCAAACAATTTGTAAAAAGATAGGATATAAGGTACAAAAGTTATCAGTTTAATTTTTTAGTACCAAGCTTACAGCATTTTCAGTGCTTGTCAGACCCTGAAGAACAGCCATGGACATCAAAGTTGCTTACTTACTATGCAACTCCTCCTCCTCATCACTGGAATAAGAAGAGCCAAGAGAAAAGAGAGTTTTAGATTTAAGGTGGAGCAGAGAGATGCTGGTCGAGAAGGAGATCCGCCTCGTTGGCTGCATCTGTGGCTGAGCTAAGAAGTGGGTTAACAGAAAGACATTAGTGCATGCACAGATTCTGCCAGGATGAAGTAAAAGGCACTTCCACCCCATGTGAGAGTAGAATATTGTGGCCTATAGCATGCCAGAAAAGGCAGTCTAGGTGAACAATGTAATTTATTTTTTCCTGAATGTCAAGAATTATAATACAGTTAAAAAAAAAACCTCACCCAACAAATATGTACTTGTTTGATTATGTAAAGAAGTATTTTCAATGGTCAGAATTCAGAGCTGGAATTTGCTTCTTTAAAAATATATGGAAAACAGAATATGGTATTCCTCAGCATCCTATACTATACTTAGGTCTCTTTCCACTCTCCCTCAACACCTCATTCCTCCCACCTCTTACAGGCAATGTGCATACCATACACTACTTACTGGTATCTTTCTCATCTTCAAGCACATCTCTCCTTTCAGAGATAGACTCATTCACCTCACTGCTCACCTTTGGACAGATATTCCATAAGCCACTGAAACTCAAATTACTTGTTTTTTCTCAATGACCTGATTCTTCTCCTATATTCTTTCATTTAGTGAAACATCTAACTAATTATTCTAAAGAGAAACCTGGGCACTACCCTCAAATCTTTGTAGCACGCATTACCCAGGCTTCTCGAATGTCTTTATGATTTCTCAGAACCTCAGTTTTCCCCTGCAGTGGCTGCTCTAAGCTCTGGGTCAAGACACTATGCACCATCATGGGAATCCTGCAAAAGCCTTCTGCTAATTCCCAACTTGTCTCCAACTCAGGGTAGGTCTAAAGCAGTGATGGCAAAGGTTTTAGACACCAAGTGCTCAAACTGCAACCCTAAATCCAATCACAAAATGCCAACACTGCAATTAAACCTGAATACTGAGGTTTTAATTTAGAAAACACAATTTATACATAAGCATTTATTGTCTTAAAAGAAAAACACAATATAAACAGCTTTTTATGGAAAGGTAAAAGTCCATTTGGTGTGCTTTTGCACAATTAACACAATTTCTGCTGTAGTGTATATACTGTAATTTGTCAGACCATGGCTCATACTATTTTTCTTGGTACCGGGGATCAAACTCGGGTCCTTGTGCCTGCGCAGCAGGCAGCAAAACCACTGAGCTAAATCCCCGGAGCACATGGCTCATACTTTGTTAGTTTGACAGCAACACATGCAGCATCTGTTAGTCTGTTTCTTATATCAGACATGATATAATTAAAAGCTGAAAACAGCTGCTCACAAGCATATGATGATCTAAATAAAGTAAGAAAAGCAATCTCAAGTGCTTTCATTGACTTACAATTACTTGGCAGAAAATTCCACACTTTAAGGATTTCATTTTCAGAACTGCCAACTGACCTCTGTACTGACCTCTATCATCCCTTCACACTCTATCTTCTCAAGTGTTGCACACAGATCAAGCCATGTGAAAGCTCGGATGAGTAGTGGCTAATGAGTAGTGGCTCAGGATATCATCACCTAAGTCAGCTTCTCCCTTTCAAGCATGTGCATGGTCCTTAAGTGTACTGTTACCC